ATCTAACCTTTAATAGAATGAAAAGTGTGTGTACTTTCGAAAAGATAACACTGCGATTCCCCGCGATATCATCACAGAATTTCCTTAGAATCACGAAAAGAACGCCCATTTAAGGTAAAACTGCTGAAAACTCGTTCGCAACAAGGTCAGACCCCAGAATCAACCGCTTCTCATCAAAGCCTCAAAAACAAAGAGCAAAACAAAATAAAAAATGTACAATGTCTTACCATATCAGAATAGCTTTCGAATATAGGCCACATCTTTAAGACGTAATCTAGGGAAAGATCCTGTCTGAAAAAAAAACCGTTGCAATTGTGAAGGACCAGATAACTTTTGAAGGATTTCACTCACATTAAGCTGGTACTAGGCGCTGAACGTATGGTACGTGTTCTTCTATCGCTGGACAACAAACAAAACGATCCTAGTGATGTAAGTGCTATGCACGGTACAACAATAGTAGAGCCTTAAAAAATAGCTTAAGATTAAAGAAGTCCATAACTTATTTGTCAGAAATCGACGTTATTCTTATGCAACTGGCCTTTGAATCTTGCACAGCAATTATATAAATCATTCCAGCTGATCAATACCATTATTTTATTTCAATTTCGAAGTCTTTTTTACCAGCTTATTGGCCATTATACAGAACGGACGCTACGTAAACCGGAAGACATGTTTACTAACTTTCTCGGTTTCCCATATTCTTGTTCGTTTATGTTTTTTTTTCTGCAGCCTTTTTTAGATCTGTGCTATCACGGAACAATTCAATGAGACGATCATCTCCTTATCCTCAAATTATCACAGAGGTAAACGTAGTGATGTTTGAGCACTTCTAGCACTTCCGAAAGCTTTCCGAGGTGAAAAACTGCCTAGAAGCCATTAAAAGGTTTGGATGGTAAGACTTTCTGCTTGAAAAAACGAAGCAACCGAATTTTATAGCTAGAATTGATTTCAGGATATCGTACGCCTGCTTCCGCTGCAACCGTGAAAAATGTCTCGCGCTGCGAAATGCGAATAAGTCGCTTGTTCTAGCGAACCATACCCGAGTTAATTGACGTGCGTGAAAAGCTGAGTGTGCAAGCTTACACTACCTAGCTGGGGGAGGGAGGGGGGACGACGACATGTTCCTTCGCCAACTCAACTGAAGCCCTAATCAGCCATTCGTTAGATTTCGTAATCGTAAGACATTCACTTGATTCGAAGTTTTTTTTTGGACTTCCATTATCACGCCCAGTCCGTGTTTGCAGAATGTAAAATCGTGCTTGAGTCTACTTTCTTTTTTGTTGATAAACAACTTTGGGGTATAAGTCGACACAGTTTTGCAGGAAAAAAATGTTCAAAAAACTTACTTCGCTGACTGCCGAGACCGGGGTATATCTTTGTGTAATACCCGTACTGCGCCCACAGCGCTAAGTCTTGGAAAATATAGTAAACCCCAATAATCTTTTGAATGGGTGTTTGATTAGTCAAAATAGCGCCTAACATATTGCATGTGTCTCCAGCAAGCCTAAAGTGAAAAATGATAAATGACTAAATGAGCAGCAATGATGAACTGAGAAACATACCAAAAGAATAAAAATACTAAAGAAAGACCATCGCATTTCTTCGTTTTGTAGTTCTGATGAAGTTGCGGCAGCAAAGGAACTAGCCAAAGAAGTAAGGATATAATCCCAATAATGAAGCCAAGCAGCTTCAGTTCTGTATCTACACAATCCGAGAATATCTAAAGCTGCAAACTACCGTTGACACTTAAAGAAACTTCCAAAGCAGAAGAAGTAATAAACAATGTGCTATAAAATTTACCCGCTCTATCCAGCGGATTCCGTTAGTGCAATTATATGCCTGGGCGGTGTCGAATCGATGAACAGTAATTCCACCACCACTCATGGCGACCTGAATCTTTCACGACAATCGTAATGAAAGCATACGGACCATCGTGAATCATCGATAAAAGCCAACTAATGAGCGAATATCATAAATCGCACACATTTCATAACACGCAATGATCGTAACAAGAAAGTAGTACAAATTATGCATATAGCAAAGTTCTGGTACTAAACAACTATTGGCCGATGTCAGACTTTGCGACGGGAGCGTTTCTGCACACGTGACGGGTACGATGGATCGCTCGAGGACCCATCGCGAATCCGTAGGTTTCGTGCGATTCGCGCGACGGATCACAGAAATCACAAGTGCCCGATCAATACTGCAAGGTGCTCTCCAATCCCGCCGCCATTTCTGCTTGATGGTGATGGCTGAATGACGACTGTTCATGATTCTACTTGTTTCATATTCAGTGTTTCAAATGTTCAAATGGGGCACTTGCGATTTTGCGATTCGCGCGAACCTGCGACGGATCGCGGACTCTGACGCCAGCCTTAGGCACAACAAGTGAGAGCCCAGGAGAGTATGCGGTAGAGAGCGCTAATTCCTAAAACGAATGTCACGTAATCAGGACACTAAATAATAACCCATGTATTCAAGTTTAAGGCGAATTCGGTGAAAAATGCCGCGTGACATAATAGAGCCAAATGGCGCCAGCGTCAAAATTGATTGTCATTTTCGTAATCAGGATGTTGAGCTCTACTGACAAACTTCGAACGAAAAATAAAATTCCGGGTTTGAGGTTGTAATGGTCGATTAGTGCCGAACTTTTAGCCACAAAAGTAACTTATTAAAAACGAGTATCTCTCGTACACATATCCACATTACCCCTACATTTCCACATTTCGAGAAAATCTTTCTAGCACTGCTAGTCATATCTGGCCCGAAAGAACACGTTGGTGAAAGAGTGATATCACCATTAGAAAGATTTGGGCCCTTCCTAGCCAAGTAGCCTAAAGCAGCACAAAAAATCTCTGTACCACATTGAAGTCTAACACAAAGTAGGCGCAATGTGGCTCGGGGGGGGGGGCACTCTGAGAAAAGTCATCTAGGACTAAGCCTAAACAGCAGGGACGAACTCCGGAGAATACGAAAATTGCTTCCGTACACCGGAGTTCCTCTCCTCTTCAAAAGCTTAGTCCTAAATGCGATGTGGCCCTCCCCGAGCCACATTGCGCCCACAAAGTATACGATCCCGGGAAGAGAATCACAGAATTCAAGCACAACAAAAAGGCGACTGTAAGCTCAGTACTACAAAAAAACTCAATCCGTAGTCTGCAACTTTTACAAACCTTTACGTCACCGAAACAAATTCCTGACGTGAGGTTAATGTGTTACGCTGCATTACGTCCAACACTAATAAGTAGTCGTAACCACACTACGTACATTTATTCTCACGCCCATCCTGCATCGTTCAGTTTTTTTTCTTGTTTTACTGTTACCAGCGAAGTAGCTTGGTATTAAGTGCTTGCGAAGCTTTTGTTTTCTAACACTCGCTACTTGAGACACATCGGACGAGTTGGCCTTATGGTGGGAAGAGAGGAACTCCCCCAATATGACTATCCGCCCATTTTATTCTGTTACCAGGCGACAAGCTGCAACCCCATTTCTTCGCTCCGAAACGACCAGCGAAGGAAAGAGGAGAGATCACTCGTCAAGAGCAATCCCCTCTCCCGCAACCACGACCGTTATTTGTCCTTAGGCCAAATGTTATCTTTTCCTCAGGAAGGAGAAAGAAAATATCGCAAATTGGTTTTATGAAGAGCTTCTGCTGATTGGATAATTTTCACCTTCACTCACATGCGTACCAGGTCTCATCCAGTAAGGGGGCATGTGGTGCGACAGTTCATATTGCATGAAGTAATCCACTTTTTTCAGGGAGGGAAGCTCCGGGGTGGGTGTAAAAGTTAAGCGAAATGGTTCACGCACCCCGGGGTTCCCTCCCCTTGCAAAAATTGGAATTTCTGTAGCCGACAAGAACTGTCGCACCACATGCCCTCCTTACTAGATGAGACCCTGCGTACCCAATGCCTCCTTTCTTGAGACAACTTGGACAACAAACGGAAATGGGAGGGCTTTTCTTTCTCTTCTTTTAAGAGGAAGCAGAGCA